CCTTTGGACCCCAAAAACAGATCCAAAAGATGAGAAGCCATTCGTTGCAGCCCCTCTTCGTGACAGTTTGTCGAGGCCTCTTCGGTCTTCCTCCTTCGGGCGCGATGCCCGCTGAAACTTAAATCTAGGCTCGAGACTCGTCGATCGCAAATCAAAGAAGAAGAAAAAAAAAAAAAAAGGTCTAAAAATGCACGTGGACGATTAACGATCGTAACGATCCTTGATCGTACACGCGCAGAATCTCGAGCGCAACGTTCGTTTCGAAAGAAAATCGCGACCGCGACCACGAAATTCGAAAAATCGATGAGCAAAGCCAGAGACGCAGTAGCATCGTCGTCTCAGCTTGGCCCTCGATTTCTCAAATTTTATTCCCTGAAACAGGTTGTCACGCGAGAAAACGCGCCTACCCGACCAGAGACTGTAACAACCTGCCCGGCCCTACCTACTTATGATTAAACAAACACACCAGAAAATATAGTACCTATCCTACCTAGCTCTATATTTAAAAAAATGGCAAAACAGGCACACCAACACATTCATCCTACGATTCTCACGCATAATACCCGGGCGCAAAAGCCTACACTAGGGAAAGCGTCCCGGGACGCCTCCGACACCCGAGCTTGGCATACTTCTTTCACACTCTAAGTTTACGTACCATTTTCCTGAAATCGATTGACGATGGCTAGCGATCATTGCGTAATTCGCGTTAAAATGTGTATATCTTATTATCAATGAAATATTGATACGTCCTTTAAGGGAATTAAATTAATAGAATGATATTTGATCATTGTCATAATTGAAAAATAATATATAAATTATAATATATAAATTGTTGTTGGAAATTATAATAATGAGATTAATCATTGGATATTTGAAATATTTCAAATTATGAAATAATAGACAAAACGACGCAATTCCACAGCCTAACCATACACACACAATATGGAAAATACGTCGTGCACGATACACTAACGCATCGTCAGTCGCTAAAAAATTTGTATTAGCT